CTCAATACAACTTTTCAACACACTAGAATTTCCATGGTTAATTTAACTTAAACACACGCTATAATTCACAACGGTTCACGCACTTTACTTACGCTCACTACCGCTCACTTGATTCAGTTATCTGTCTCTATCTCTCTATCTGCAATTCTCTATATCGTCAATTCTTCCGGTCTTATATATACAAAATAGAGGGCGTCTGGCAAACACTCGAGCCTTCACCAACCTTCTAGATACTCATTACGTGTTACCAGCGTCATGTGAATTCCGCTGTCGTAACAATGTTATTTAGTTTCCGTTATAAGTTTAATTCTAAATGGAATAGTATCAAAGAGGTTTCATATACACGTTACGTTTACCCAACAACATATTTACTAGTAACTGATAATTATTTAATTATTTTTAAAGGTAGAAAAGATGTATTGAGATACGATGATAGAGATGCATCCTGATTATTATTTTCTATAAATTAAAACTAATGATCGAAACAATAACATTTTTCAGTTATTAAACATATTATTTAAAACGTTATTTCAAAAGGAGCCTTATTCTTCATAATTTATAATGAATTTTATTTTATTAATCATCAGGTAATTTAACTCAGACTACTCAATGAGATCCGCTTCCCTAGGGGATAATGGACAGAACTATATTACTGGCTAGACATGTCTCACATGTAATAACTTTTCTTATTTCGAATGTATCAACTATTTTACAAAGCAAAATTTTACCTGTAATAACGACCTCTGCCTCCTCCACTATACCTTCTGCTATATCTATATCTTCCCCCATAATATCCGGCCTCTACCTCAGGAACTACTATTGCACCTAACAAAAGGCATACGCACAGAAACACCAGAAATGCTTTCTTCATAACTACAGAGAAAAATAAACGAAACAGTAGAAATGAGGTTTGCAAATGTATTCAAGTATTCATTATTTGGAATCTGTGGGAATTAATAGCATTCAATGTAGATTATAAGACTAGTCTTTGAGAAGTCCATTTCGCTCGTTAAATTCGTAGAGACCAAGATACTTTCTTTGCCCGACTTTAAAACAATGTCATAAAAATATCATTTATTGGCCTATCGGGATCTCTCGAGATTAATTAGTTTTTAGATATGCTTTTGTCTTGAAACTAAAATTTACACATACCTTAATCTAAAACTGAATAAGCACTAAATGGAATTAATGCCAGCACTATGATGCTTATTAATTTCACTTCTATAATGAACTACAAAGACTTACACTGCATGTTTATATAGCAGTTATTATAGTTAATTTAAAAACTAACTATAAAATACATAAATAATGTTTTAATATCGACCCAAGAAAGTAGACTCTTAACTTTGCGAACTTCATAAGTGAAAACCTACCTGTGTTTGAGTTTTTTCAACCACACAACTTTTGTCTCTCGGATATTGCTAAATTTTCTTTGCTTCACTCATTTATATATATTACGTCGATTCTCGAAGTCCACCTATCACAAGGAGAAGTAATATGTCACGTGATATTAAGGAGTAAAAATTGTATTTCGAGATCAACAAGAATTTATTCAGCGATTTTGTTTTTGTTTTCATGTGACTTCGAGTTTCACTTTTTGTTGTTGTTGTTTTGTCTTTTGTGATGAATAGTTAAGCATTTTCAGCAATCTCAAACCTTTCTTTGCGACCACCCAACTTCCGATATATCTAAAGAATGTCCAATTTTCTTATTAAGCTATAAATACATTGTATTATTTCGTCTAGCAGTTATATATTCACAAAAAATACTAGCCAGTTATGTAACGTTGCCAATTTAATTACGTCAAAAATCAAAGAAAGCTTTTCACTGCTTGTTATGACCGTGACGTACGACCATTAAGATCTTTCATTGTCTGTATTATTCATTGGAAATAAATATACATTTGAATAATTTATATGAATAATAAAATTTCCCCTCGAAAACTAGTGTTACAACTTAATTGAACGTTATATAAGCTTTCTTTTTGTTGATATTTTACCTTACGTAACTGAAATTTTACGTTTTCTTCACATCCTTATCTAAATACAATTCCATGATGACTTCTTCAGGATATTTTTTCTATACATATAATATATAACTTTCCAAGAGTTATTGATATGAATTTGTAGATTAGGAACGCATAGAAAATCTTAACTTGTTTCACAGAAATATCAGGTATATTCAAAATAAAGCCTATCCCTCAAAAAGGCTTTAATAATAAATAAATAAATAAAAAGGGGGGTTCAAAACACATATTAACGTCACTTGATGAGCAATAAAATCGGAATTATTAAAAACAGGATACAACGTTTTATTCATCAGTGCAAAAGTGTCATTTAATTATGAACTTGGAGGTTTCAGTCTGTTGTACTTTATTAGATGACGTCTCATTCGACGCAAAAGGAAAACACAGGAGTAGTGAAATAGGCACCAAATACGAATATTTGTTATCCCATATCACTCCAAGGGTAGTCCTAAGGGTGCATAACTAGGTTTGCTGAGAACCGGTCTAGCGGCTCGCCAGCTTCAAGCGTGCACGCCCACAGACTTTTGCCATCTAATATACTGCTTTTAAGCTACATTTTCAGTATTCATTTAAAAATTAACTAGACGGCGCGTGACTTTAAAATCAAGTAAGTAGTCCTAGAATACCTAAAAAGTTCACTTTTTCAATAATCTAGTAACCTCAAGTAATATCTAAAGATGGGTGCATTAGTTATAAATAAGAGTTAGTTCAGTGAAGTATTTATTGTGAAAGTGAAGTAGTGAATGAGAAATTAGTTCAGTGTCAGAAAAGTTATTCAGTGTTAGACAGTAAGAATTATTTTATCAATTCTGTCATTCATTTACAAGATAAATTTTGTTTGTTTATCAATCAAACTTTAAAGTTAAGTAAGTTAGTAGTTCTTACCATAGTCTCGAAATTTCCGTTGAAAATTAAAATATTATTTGTGAGTTTGTGACTACAACTGTGTACAAGTGAAAGTATCTTGTAGCAAACTTTAAGAAAGAAGTAAACTGATTTGTTATCGTTACGTGAATTGGACTTGGCCTTATTTTTACCAAAATAATCCACCCAGCGATAGAATATTGTTATGTCTCCGTTTGTTAATTAACTTTCCGTAACTTCGTTCCGACGAAACTTTAGTGACACAAGTCCTTACTTAATAAAACTGGTTTATTCTTTCCGAATATAACTTTACC